ATTTTGGAGAGTATCACAATGTATGCACGTGCTTTGATCTGAACGTAAACAACGTACATGGTGCTGCTGACACAGAACAGCATACATTGTTTACGTTCAGCGGATACTCTCCAAAATGGCAGAACTGTTTTATAAACTCGCAGTTCTAAGAAAGTTCGTAAACTTACAATTAAAAAAACTGTCCGAAATTTGAGATGTTCTCAGAAGTGCAAGAACACAGAAGACTTTAGAACTCAGAAGTGCATAGAAACTATTATAAACTCACAATTCTGAGAAAGTCCAAATTGCGAGATGTAAATGTCACAGTGTCTGGTTGTTGTGCCCTGGACTGGCCACTTGATGGCGCTCTCCCATTTCACGCCCTCCGCTTCTCAGTGGGGATGATAATCAGTAATGAAAAGAACCGGGCAAAGAACTATGGGAAATGGAGTTTATGACAAGTAACAGTGAAAGGGGAGAGCGCCATCAAGTGGTCAGTCCAGGGCGCAACAACCAGACACTGTGACAGTAAACTTGTATTTTTGAGAAAAATAATCAGAATTGTGAGATGTTAACTCAAAATAGTTAGCTATAAGCACACAATTCTGAGAAAGATGAATTGTGAGATGCAAATTTGCAATTTTGAGAAAAATAGTCAGAATTGCAGGACGCTAACTCAAAATTGCAAGATTTGTAATTGTGAGAAATACCATCAGAATTCTAGGTAACACATATTCTGCATGACCATATTCTACATCCTTAATCCTAAAAATACCTAAACTTAACTACCTTACTAACTATTAATAAGCAGCAAATTACTGTAGGAGTTTATTGAGGCAAAGTCATAGTTAATGGTTTGTTAATAGCAAGAATTGCACCTTAATATAAAGTGTGACCGAATTCTATGTTATAAACTTGCAATTCTGAGGAAAAAATTGCAAGAAATAAAGTCAAAATGTGTCACTGCATTCACATTCACTGCAATACTAAAACGTTTACCAGGTTTAGTAGATGTTGTTGTTGTTGTTTTGGATAATGGGAGGAAAAATGGATAATGGAAATGCTGGGTTTAAACAGTAAAGTTTTATAGCCTAAACTATCAGCTCATTTTCCCCCTATTCCACAGCTGTGTCCTCTGATTAAAGAAGGACAAGTGTGAGAGGACTGTGTGTGTGTGCTAGACACGGCTTTACTGTCCTCCAGCTCTCAAAACACACACTCCTGTTTCATCCATCATTCAGCTCTGCCATTAAACCTCCCTGTGTGAGCAATCAACAGCCCAACAAGCTTCCTGGCTCACTACTGAGAGTGTGAGTGTGTGTTTGGCAGAAAAAAGGACACAGAAAGACACAGAAAACAGCAATGAGAGAGACGTGTTTGCAGGGTTTCTGACATCTTACGCCTAATGAGAGCCATTTTTGCTGTTTTGCACAGAGATGTCTGCGGCAGGCTTGGTTTGGTTCATCCACAAGTCAGCATCTCTGTAATGATCAGATTCATTGAAAAGCTCCCATGATAGTCACAAGCATTTTCTCTAAAATATCCACATCATGCTCTCTAGGCATTGAAATACGTTATTGAAACTCTCAGCCGCTGAGGCAGTTATTGTCCTCAATGGCATTAAGGAGCTAGTTCAACCAAAAAATGTGAATCAAAATGTTTTCCAAGCTATTGCATATGGACCCGTGACTCGAAATGCACAGGATTGTGGGATATCATTGGCAGTGAAGGATACATCTGTGCTGCATTCTGATGCAGTTATTGTCCTCAGTGACATTAAATGGCTAGCTCACTCAAACATGTGAATCAAAATGTTTTCAAAGCTACTGTATATGGACCCATAACAGGATTGTGGGATAATATTGGCAGTGAAGTATACATCTAGATGTTAACCAAATGCAGGCATCTCTTTAGGCAAGATGTTGAGCAAACAAGGATCCGGATGTGTTGTTATGTCTTGTTACTTCTAAGAAGCCTTCTTACTGACTGAAAAGTGGTCACACTTTATTTTAAGGTCCAAATCTTGCTATTAACAAACCATTGAATATGACTTTTGTCTCAATAAACTCCTAATTTGCTGCTTATTAATAGTTAGTAAGGTAGTTGTTAAGTTTAAATATTGGGAAGAATTAGGGATGTAGATTATGGTCATGCAGAATATGTGCTAAAGTATTAATAAACCGCCAATATGTTAATAATAGGCATGCTAATAAGCAACTTAATAGTGAGAATTGGTCCCTATACTAAAGTGTTATCTGAAAAGTCAACATTTTTTAGAATGAATTGAGCAAGGAAGAGTTTTGTGGCTTGTGAATTTACAGTATGCAATATTAAAACAAATGTAATATTTCCCAAATGTCTGCTACAAATAAAAGTAGTTTGAAAATACACAACTGTAATACACAGTCTATATAAATTAATGTCAATTAGAAAAAGTGACGCATGTTAACACTAATAGAAAATGCCTTTTAAATTTGTACATGGTGTAATTGTACATGAATTTGTGAAAATGAGATTTACTTCAAATTCAAAATCATATTTATATCAAAACACACACTCATTTCAGGTAAACTTTTTCATTCTTCATTTTCATTCAAATTGGCAAACATGTAGAAAACAGTGTAATTCACAACCACAAATCCGAAATGATTTGAATTTGTGAAATTCTTGATGAAATGAGTGTTATTGCATTATATATCATTATTCCATGGTCTGTCTGAATACTGGATTCTGATTGGCTGGAGGGTATGCAGTAAAACCGTTTAATGCACAGGTAGTTCCAAGTGAGTTTAATCACCGTTCTATATCAATGCACTGCTTTAATTGATGCACACAAACCCACACACATCACACGCACACACACACACACACACACACACAGAGAGAGAGAGAGAGAGTGTGTGTGTGAGATCGCAGATTGCGCTGCACACACACACGCACACACA